TTCCCTTAACTTATCACCTAGGCATCATACAGTTATAGCCCTCTTAAACCAGAGAGACCATGACTATCAATTTCCAAACCTAAGACAGACACTCATTTAAAGCAATAAAAAATAATGACTTGGCAATCTATATCATATATGCCCTCATAAATCAGCAAACAAGAAATCTAGAGGTACTTGTGGAATCATAGAACTGGGAAGAGACCTTTAAAAACCATCAGATTCAATCCCCTTTACAGATGAAGAAATTGAGGCTTGGAAAAGTCCAAAGTCACATAATGTCTCTCATGAGAGGTCCAATCTAATTAGATCTGAATGCAGTGCAATGTTTTGGGATTTTTTTCCCCCTGTACCATACACTTTCCATCATCCAAGCTAATTTCTGTCCCCTACATATCCACAGTAGTCACATAAAATGAGACACTGGTAAACTATGGCCAGGTACTCCCTGATTTATCTTTGCTCATTGGTCAAAGAAAAGATGTCTAAGGTAACAAAACCACTTGGGACTTTACCGACCATCACCCCCAGCATGAATTCCATCTGGCATCATCAGACAAAACTGTGCAGAATTTACACTAGTTGAGCCATTGCTGGCTACAAACAGTGTCCCAGATTCCATAGTCTCGATCTTTGTTACTTGGTCACAGGCTAAGTTAATGGGATGTATCAATCCTGAGGGTCACCAGAACAAAACCCATCAGCTTTTTGATTAAACCCAATAATAAAAATACATAGACATAACATTAATCTATAATTTTTTTAATTTTCATTTTGTTGTAAACTAGTTGAAACTCGAATATTTCAAGACAAAAAGAACAGGAAAGCAGATTATATAAGAAACTGTATCTGCTACATACCATTCTTTAAAATAAATATACATGTTAAGTTTGACAAAGAGGTAGCAAAATTGCTCCATTTATCTCCCGTTGTCCATTTCTTTTTTTCCCCTTCTTTGCATTTTAAAAATCATTTACTGCTTGTTCCTTTCCCCCATGTCTATCACTATCCAATAACTCACTTTTCCACCAACACCACTAAGGAAAAACCCTCCCTTAATACAAATATATATATAAGCCAAGCAAAACAAATCAACATATTGATCATGTCTGAGAATGCATACCTAATTTTATACCTCTAGTTTATCATCTCTTGGTCAAAAAGTAGAAGGGTCTTGGTTTTGTTTTTTTGGGGTTGGTTTTTTTTTTTTTGGTCAGTATTTTGAAGACATGAATGGATGCCACTTTGGTTAGAGCTGGTCACTGGCAGAAGGTGTTGTTCTGGGCTGGGTCTGACTCAGTTCAGTTCTCTGGTAGTTTAGGTTGGATATTGGAATGAGACACTGATAGGTCATACAAATGTTGACAAAAGGAGATTTACTTAACCACAGCAGAAGAATATTCAACAAGAATAGACATTGAGAAGCCTTGAGTGGATTTAGCTGAGCAAACCTCCAATCTCATCCATCAGCAAAGCATCTGAGAACCTTTCTAGGTCCTCGATGCTGCTTTGTACTCAGAGGATAAGGAAGTAGTCCCCTGAGCCAACCAACTGTCAAGGAACATCTCAATATATTTTAAAGCTAGACTAATCTGTATGGGGTGGGGGCAGGGTTAGAATAGTTCTTCTACGAGAGAGACTCTTATGAGTCTTTCTACACTTCAAAAAATCCATCATAATCTTGTAGCACAAATTAATTCCACTTCAGTCCTGCCACAATTGTTTTTAGGGCACCTGTTTTTTTTTCCCCTCAGTTCTTTGGTACATCAAAAAAGTCTATATACATATATATGCATGTGCATGCATATATATTCTTATGGATTCATAAAAAATTAATAATTTTATAGATGTATAGATACAGATTCTTTGTCAAAAAACTTATAGTTTTATTGAGACAACATATATATGTATACATATATATATATATACATACAAGCATAACCAGAATTAATATAAGGGGACATATCAGCAGGGGGAAGGGATCAGGAAAACTGGATTGTGTGTTTATAATACTTCATAGTTCCAACTCATTGTTTGGCATTTTGATGGCCAGAGGGAGTGTAAATAGCAGTTGTTCCTGTTCTGGCAGAAACTTTAAGGGCCTTCACCTCCCAGACTGATTCTTTTGTAAAGGCAAACTAGGCTACCTTTTGCTTCAATTCTTACCCAGCCTTTAATTATTGAATGGGCATTGCCTCAGACAAACTGAGACTTAGGAAAGACTTTAGCTTAAAAAGGCCAAGGTCGACCAAGCATCCAGGGATCCATTTCTTTCATTAAATTTTATTTTTTTTTAACATGTTTTTAAAACTTTGAATTACAAATCCTCTCCCTTCCTCCCTCCCCACCCACACTCATTGAAAAGGCAAGCAACTCTATACAGGTTGTATAGATGTGTAGTCATGCAAAATACTTCCATAGTAGTCATGTTGTGAAAAACTAAGTACATTTCCCTTCATCCTATCCCGTCCCCCATTTATTCTATTCTCTTTTGTGAGCCTGTCCCTCCTCAGAAGTGTTTGCTTCTGATTATCCCCTCCCCCAATCTGCCCTCCCTTCTATCATCCCCCTGCTCTCTTGTCCCTTTCCCCTCCTTATATTCCTGTAGGGTAAGATAGATTTCCACACCCAATAGTGTATGTTATTCCCTCCTTAAATCAAATCCGATGAGAATAAGATTTACTCATTCCTTCTTACCTTCTTCCACTTCTGCTCCACTGTAAAAGCCTTTTCTTGTCTGTTTCATGTGAGATAATTTACCCCATTCTACTTCTCCCTTTCTCCGTCTCCCAATATAATCCTCTCTCACCCCTTAATTTTATTTTCCAGATAATCACCCCTTCATCTTCAACTCACCCTGTGCCCTCTATCTATCTATACATACCTATAATTTTTTCCCTCCCACTACCCCAATACTGACAAAGGACTCATGAGTTACAAATATCATCTTTCCATGCAGGAATGTAAACAATTCAACCTTAATAAGTCTCTTACGATTTCTCTTTCCTGTTTACCTCTTCATGTTTCAATTGGAGTCTTGTATTTGAAAGTCAAATTTTCTATTCAGCTCTGGTCTTTTCATCAAGAATGTTTGAAAGTCTCCTATTTCACTGAATGACCATTTTTTCCCCTGAAGGATTATGCTCAGTTTTGCTGGGTGGATGATTCTTGGTTGTAATCCTATCTCCTTTGCCCTCCGGAATATTATATTCCACACCTTCTGGTCCCTTAATGTAGAAGCTACTAAATGTTGTGTTATCCTAATTGTGTTTCCACAATACTTGAATTGTTTCTTTCTGGCTGTCTGCAACACTTTCTGGTTGACTTGGGAACTCTGGAATTTGGCTACAATATTCCCAGGAGTTTTCCTTTGGGGATCTCTTTCAGGAGGTGATCGGTGGATTCTTTCAATTTCTATTTTGCCCTCTGGTTCTAAAATATCAGGGCAGTTCTCCTTGATAATTTCATGAAAGATGATATCTAGACTCTTTTTTTGATCATGGCTTTCAGATAGTCCAATAATTTTTAAATTCTCTCTCCTGGATCTATTTTCTAGGTCAGTTGTTTTTCCAATGAGATATTTCACATTGTTTTCTATTTTTTCATTCTTTTGGATTTGTTTTACAGTGTCTTGATTTCTCATAAAGTAACTAGCTTCTAATTGCTCCATTCTAATTTTTAAGGAAATATTTTCTTCAGTAAGTTTTTGGACTTCCTTTTCCATTTGGCCAATTTTGCTTTTTAAAGCATTCTTCTCCTCATTGGCTTTTTGGACCTCTTTTGCCATTTGGGTTAAGCTATTTTTTAAGGTGTTATTTTCTTCAGTATTTTCTGGGATCTCCTTTAGCAAGCTGTTGACTTGTTTTTCATGATTTTCTTGCATCACTCTCAGTTTTTCCTCTACTTGTCTTACTTGCTTCTCAAAATCCTTTTTGAGCTCTTCCAAGGCCTGGGACTAATTCATATTTTTCTTGGAGGCTTTGGTGGTAGGAGCTTTGACTTTGTTGTCTTCTTCTGGTTGTATGTTTTTATCTTCCTTGTTACCAAAGAAAGATTCTAGGATCTGATTCTTTTTTTGCTGCTTGCTCATGATCTCAGTCAATTACTTGAGTTATAAACTCTTGGTTAAGGTAAGGGTCTGTTTCCAATGTGGAGAATGTACTGTCCCAAGCTTCAGGGGTTATGTGCAGCTATATTCAGAGATACTTCTAGGGACCTGTAAATTTTCAGTTCTTCCAAGGTGCTATGATCAAGGGCGAGGTGTTTACTCCTTTCCTGACCTGTGCTCTGGTCTAAGAGTGACCACAAGCACTCTTTTCTGTCTTGGAACTATGAGGAGGATTTCCTCTCCACAGCCACTACAAGCTCCACCATGCTATCGCTCCTCCTCGCCCCAGGACCGCCACCCAGTACTGTGACCCAGATCTAAGCACGGGCAAAGCAAGAGAATCCTGCACCATCAAAGAGATCTCTGCAATCCCCCTCTGATCAGCCATTCGATTCCCCCTCAGTCTGTGGGCCAGAAGCTCAGGTAGCAGCCACAGCCTGGGGGCTAGGCTAGGGGACTAGAGCTGAGACCATCGTGCGATTCAGTCCTTTGAGGCCTGCTCCAGGTTCTGCGCACTCACGCCAAACTCTGCTCCTCTCCCAGCCTAGCACAACATACCTTTCCAAACAACCATCCAGGTTATCTTGGCCTGGAAATTTGTTTCACTCTGCCTTTTTGTGGGTTCTGCTGCTTTAGAATTTGTTTAGAGCCATTTTTTACAGGTTTTTGGAGGGGTTTGGGGGAAAGCTCAAGCAAGTCACCACGTTTATTCTACCATCTTGGCTGTGCTCCAAACAGATTGTTTTTTTAGATGGCTAGTACATCTGACCAAGTATGCATCACCTTAAACTATGTGGAATAAAAACCTTTCAAAACATAGAGACCTAAAAGAAGGAATAAATGAATTTTTTAAAAAAACATTTATTAAGCAACTATTATGTGCAAAGCCCTGTGTAAGCACTAAGGATACAAATATAAACAAGCATGACAGTCTGACCTCAAGGAGCTTACATTCTAATAAAGAGAAACAGCACAGTTAAGGGAATTAGAGATGGGGAACAGGGGGAGTTGAGGGCACATGAAATCAAAACCAGGTAGGAAGAGGATGAGGTACACATAATCCCATTATCCTAATTGCTACTAGAATTGTCCTGACAATGCTTTCAGTGAGCCTACACATGAGCTCACTCTCCAATACTTATTATTCAATGACACAAAATAGTCATTTTTTTCACCCATGCAATACTCCACAGAATATAAAATATTAAAAAACAGGAGACTGACTTGTACCCAGATCATTTCTAACTAAAGAAATTGCATGAAAAAAATGATAATAAATTTCACACTTATAAAGCCCTTTGCAAAGTATTTCACAGCTATAAGGTCCTTATGACAACGAATTGTTAGGGTTCCGCAACTTTTCGGAGACAGACATACCCAAAATTATAGGGAAGGACTCAGAAGGTTATTTCCAAAGACACAGCTGCCAATGAAGTTGTGACAGCATCATCCCTGCCCAGATGTGGTCTATGCCTAAGACCACCAGCATCTTAAAGTAAAATCCAATGTTATGAGACTTTCTTCAGGGCAATACACAACTCAGGAGAAGTCAAACACAAACACACACAGGAAACTACTCAGGCATTCAGCCCCAGAGCTACACTGTAACATCACAGTATGGTCTCACCTGACTCTCTCATTCTTTCTCCATCCAAAACCCACAGCACCACGGTTATAAGAAAAGGACTAGTCTGACATCTACCCAGACGTTCAGCCTCCCCCTGGCTTTATTTGCTGCCTACAGGCAACCTCAGAGTGGGAAAGAAGATGTTACCCTCCAAACAGAAACTGACAACAGCTGCTGCCTTCCTGACCCACAGTTCATCTACCCTGCCTTACTGATGAAGGGAAAAACAACAACTAGAGAAACAACTTCATGAAGCAAGTAATCCGAGTATTATTTTGCATCATCTACATTTTACGAATGAAAAAACTGAAGCTCAAAAAGGTTAGGAATTCACCAATAATCACACAGCTTAAAGGCAATGGAGCTTAGAATCAACCTGGGTTGTCTGACACAGCTCAGGGTTCTTTCCATTAGAGTCCCCATCAGTGTTGGTTTGCCAGATTAATGCAGCCTTTGAAAACGAATATTCCCATTCTAAAAACATCCCAAAAGGAGGCATACAAAAAGGGGGATCTTCTAAGGAATCACCAGAGCACAACTTTTGAGTTGCAAGAGATATAGGACTTGTAGTCCAGTTCCCTCATTTTATGAATAAGGAAACTGAGGCCTAGAGAGGCTAACTGACTTCCCCAAAGTCACATAGGTAATAAATGGCAAAGCTGTCATTTGAACCCAGGTCTTAAGATTCCAAATCCAGGGGCAGCCAGGTAGTGCAGCGGATAGAGCACCGGCCCTGGAGTCAGGAGGACCTGAGTTCAAATCCGACCTCAGACATACAACACTGACCCTGGGCAAGCCACTTAACCCCATTGCCTAGCCAAAAAAAAGATTCCAAATCCAACATTCTTTCCATTGCACCACACTGCCAAAATCTCTGAGAGAGGCCAGAGTTCTGGTGAAAGCTAGTGGCTAGCACATTGACCAGGTCCTAAAAAGTGTTAAAATTTCACACATTTTTCAGGTGTTGATGGGCTTATGCAACAGTCTGCTTCTACCCAGCAAGAATACATTTGAAACTAATCCAGGAGTTACATGTGTACCATTAATGTACTATGAATCCTGAGTTAAGAAGAAATGAGGATGAGTAATGCAGGATTTGGATGTGAAACTCAAGAGTCTGATGGACGCTTCAGTAAATACATACTTTGGAAAAATTACCTGGAAGCTCAAAAGGAAGTAGACCTGTGGAGTTTAAATTGCCAACTTTGCCTCTCAGCCACCTGCTCTGAACAGCTGCATGTGTTTAGAAGGTGTTTCTAAGTGTGGTTTTTGGAAGTTCTACTTGTTTCTCTCTCTATCCCCCCAGTGCTTGTGCTCTCTCTCTCTCTCTCTCTCTCTCTCTCTCTCTCTCTCTGTCTCTCTCTGTAATAGCTGCAACCAATAAAAGAATGGGCAGATTAAAAAAATCTAGGCCACGAACATATCCAATTTTCAGATTTAAATGGTGCTGGAGAGGTTAAGGGCAGAGGGTGGAAATTACTCACAGATCCCAGCTCAGATGCCGTGCACCTACCATTCTCATCTGCTTCCACGCTTCCACTGGAACTTCCATGCACGAAAGGCATAAATCAGAGACTAAGGCATATTGGATACTGTTTTCCATAGACATTTGTATATGATGAAGCCTACATCAAAGGAAGTGACTAAGTGATCAGTCTGTTATTATTGTGTCTTTGCCTATGACATATAAGGATAATAGCTAGCATTTTACAGCACTCTAAGTTTTGCACATAAGCTATGTCATTTTACAGAGAAAAAACCTGAGACTGAGAAGTGATTTACCCACGGTCACACAGAAAGTATCTGAGGTAAAGATTGAACTCAGTACTTTCTGACTCAAAATCCAGAGCCCTATCCATTCACTACATAGCTACCTACAAATGTAACTGATTAGTGGGCATTGTGCTCTAACATGGGGGAAAAGCATGAATCTGATGTTTTTTAATGTTAATAAAATATTTTAATTGATATATATTTCTGCTATTGTTTCCTGCAAAAGAGGCATCACTCTTTTGTTTTTAATGTCCTCTCCAAGAAACTTCAGAGATTTATTTTTTGTAATAGGCTACCGAGCCCAAGAGAGACACCAGATACATTTGAAGAAAACAAAAATTGATCATTTTTCTCTCATTCAGGAGTCAAGTGTAAGTTCCAGACCTCATGTAGAAAAAATACGTACATGGTAGTTCTCCCCAGCCACACTGTCCTGGGTCTTAGTTATCCTCACTGATGAGGATTTTTTTTTTTTTTTGCATTGATTATTTCTCCTTACGAAGTTATAAAATTCCTCTCGCCACTGCCCGGAGAGAGGAAGAGAGAGACAGAGGGAGATGGAGAGAGAAAGACAGAGAGACAGAGAGAGGCACACAGACAGAGACAGAGACAGACACAGACAGAGAGACAGAGACAGACACAGAGAGTCACAGTGCAAAAGGCTTTACATGCCAAACAGAGGAGTTTATTCTGGAATAACAGGGTCACTGAAGCCTTTCGAGCAAGAGAAAGAGGATACATTGGAGAGAGGAGAGGCTGACTAATTAAAAGGTTATTCCAATAGTTCAGGTAAGCAATGATGAGGGCCTCAGGCTAATATCCATTTTGGGAAGAAAAAGGGATGGATTTAAGAGATACCATGGAGGTAGAATAGACAAGCTTATGATTAGATAATCTAACCACACTGCCAGTGAGTAGGGCACAACAATACAATCCAATTCAGAATCCCTACGTTTGACTATCATTCTCTATTCTCCCATCCCCATTCACGTTAGCTTTATCTCTCCAATGTCCCTATTACACTTTGCCTTTCCCTTCCATAGTGTCCTGTGGAATTCCTCAGATAGCCCTTCCTACTAGACTTCTTCTTCTCATGCACCTTCCAACTTCATGAAGTCACAAAGACCTGACTCCACCTAGAAGATATGCATCTTTGTCCATCCTCTCTAGTATTGGCGATAGCTTCACTCATTTCCCTAAGACATTAAGAATGGATGGATGAATGGATAAATGAATGAATTTTAAAAAGCATTCATTAAACATTTATAATATTCAAAGAACTGTGCTAATATATAAACACAAAGCTAAGACTATCAATGCCCATAAAGAGCTCATGTTCAAATGGGGAGACAACACATATGAGGATGGTGGTGATAGGGAGAGGTGGCTTAGGAAGTCACCGCAGAGTTAATTGGCTCACTCTTTCTAGAAACAAAGGAAGTACCAATTTGACTATGGCCAGGTCTCCATGGTCTAGATTAACGTATAGTAACATGCAGGGCAAATGGCAAGAAAATGGCTGGGGTGGAATGTGAGGTATAGCAGCAGAAAACTAGAGAGAATGGACCATAGAAAGCATTTATCAATCAGGAGAACACCAAGGGTCTAGGACAGTGGCTCCATAAATGAGAAGACAGAGTCACCCAGGGAAATAGAGAGGGGAAGGCGTAGGCATGCTTCCTGCTCTTCACTGCCACTTCCAGCCTCTCCCCCTATCACCATCACTCAGAAGTCCCTCATTCTTTAAGGCTGAACATCCATATGGATCACCCAATCCAGAGGATCCGACTCTTTCCTCTTTTCCAGGCCATCATCCCTACTCTGGCCTCACTTTTCCTCCTACAGAATTTTGACTTTATAGTTAACCAATTCAACTTTACAATGCCGTGTATCCTTGAGTTTCTTGCACCCTTGTCCTATTACCATTCAAGGGTGAAAGCACAGGTCATGCAGACAAAGGACTGCTAGTTCAAATCTCACTTGGGATATTTTAAAAGGCATCGTAACATAGTAAATATAATGCTAGATCTGGAGGCAGGAAGACCTGGGTTCAAATCCTACCTCAGATATTTACTGAGTTGTGTGATCCTAGGCAAATCATTTAACCTCACTATAAAATGAGATCGAACTAGAGGGCTTTTGATGTCCTGTTCTAAAACCATACACCTATGATCCCTTTCCAAACTCCAACCCTGTATGACTAATACCATCCACCTTCATCTTCACTTACCTTTCCAAGTCTTCCTTCTTCTTGGTGCCTTTCCTTTGAGATTACCCCCCCCCCCATTATCTTGTATCTATCTTGTTTGTACTTAGTTTTTTACATGTTGACTCCCCCATTGGACTGAACTCTTTGAGAGCAGGAACTGGGTTTTTTTTGTTGTTGTTTTTGCCTTTCTATCTCCATTGCTTAAACCAATGTCTGGCACATAACAGGTGCTTAATAAACACTAGCTCACTGACCATTAAACACCAATAGAGGAAGTCACACAACCATGTTAAATGGTTCCAATGTAAATTTATGTTTTGTATGATTAGCTAGGCCCTTACCACTACATACCAATCCATGATTAATTCTATCATATTTGGCACATCACTAAGTATCAAAGTATATGCTGATTTAATTTAGAGGGTCCTATCAAGTTCTTTGTAGAATTTCCCTTCTCTTGAAACTTCTGCATTAGATGTTTGAGCTACAATTACTTTCATGGAAATATTTACTTATCACAAGCACTTCAACACAAAATGACAAAACTTCTCATGAAATTATGTTTCTTTTTACCTTTAAATGCATGATGAGAACCAACTACCTTATTTGCTTCTCAAATATGAACCTAGAAGGTATCCTTCCATTTAGCTACAACTTTGTGGTTTCACTTACAGAGAGAATATTAATATGGTTCAGTTCCTTCAGGTCACTTGTTAGTTACTGAACAATTTATGTTTGTAATATCAAGAATTAAAGTCTACAGACTATACAAGATGGTACAAAAATGATGTGATCCTCAGCACTGTCAGCCCACTTCCTTCCCCTACAACTGCAGATCAACCTCTCCCGGGTATCTCTAGAATTACTTTCACAGGATTTCTGAGAGGTTCAAATGAGATAATTTACATAAAACTTAGATGCAAACTATTATATTATTAACAACTTACTTCATTGTCAGAAACTTCATTATGAAAGGTAGGTTTTTTTTAATGTCTAAAGATACATCCTAGGAGATCAGAAAAGATTAGAGTACAAAAATATTATTGAATACTAACTAAATTCTATATAATTTATTGATTGAAGTTCAGTTAATACTAAAGTGTAATTAATTAATCAAAACTATTCAAGGGTAAATGATTAATATTGATAACTTTCTGTTTTGAGGGTAAAGGGGGGGTTATTCAATGAGCTCCTGAAGTGGGAGAGGAGTTCACTACAGAAAGATAAAGGAAAAACAAAAGGTAATTTGGAAATGCCTGAGCCAAGTGTAAGTGATTGGTGTAAGATCCTAGTGGGCTATTAAGTCAGGAGAATGAATGCTACCAAAGAGGAAATGTGTGCAAAACAGAAACTGAAGGCAGTCTTTACTGACTTCACAATTTTGCTAAGGGCTTGTCCCCTTTACCCCCGTGTTCAGAGGTTGCCTAGGGAGACATTTAAGTCGTATGGAACAAAGCATAGTTTAGTGAGAACTTCTGCCCTGCAACACATATTATCAATGCTTCACAAGAGCTATGAAGTTTTGCTTTTTAATATGGTTGAATTCTTTACAAAGAAGCCTTGCTCCCAGAGGATTTATTTATTGAGGCATCATTACATTATTAACCAAAGCTGTCATTAAAGATGGAATGCTAACCATGTGCTGAGCTTTGTGCACAGAAAAACTTACTCCGCTCTGGGCTAAATGTTCAGATCCACAGAGGATAAGGTTAAATTAAATTTAAATAATGACTTAACTTACACTACACAGTGCCTTTAAAAAAGGCCAAGATCCAAAAGGCAACTAATATATCTATAATGTACTTCATGCTTATAAGCCTTAGAGATCCTGGGTGCCATTTTGGGGTCCATTCCAGAAGCCTAACTCTTGGGAAGACAGATTTGGACATGGGAAGGGACCTTATATGCCATAAAGTCCAACAAGCATCCTTTCTTGAATTCCCTTAATGTTAGTCCCTTCCCTCTGTGCATTATTTTCAATTGATCCTGAAAATATCTTACTTATACATAATTATTTTCATGTTGTTTCCTCCACCAGACTGTAAAGTCTTTCAGAGCAAGGACCATCTTTTGCCTTTTCTGTATCCACAGTACTGCTACATAGTAGGTGCTTAATACTTACTGACTTACTGACTGATGTGGTATCCAGAAAAGACCTCAACTGACTGGCACAGACAAGATTAACTATAATAGAGAAATAACATGAGAGACAAAGTGGTTCAGTTCCAAGAATAATGCATTTTGAGGATCAGAGGAGTTATGTTCAATTAACAGCTCTGAAGCTTATAGGCAGTAGGGGGCACAATACACAGAACCCAGGGCTGAGAGTCAAGAAGACCTGAATTCAAATCCTACCTCAGACACTTCAGATGTCACATTCAGCCTCAATGTCCTCTAAGTTCATTTCCTATGAGTTCTTTGCTTACTACTTGTGTGACTTTAACCTCTCTTTAAAATGAGGGAACTAAACTAGGGTCTCTTTTAGCTCTAACATTATGATTCTAAGGTTTTAAACTTGTTTTGTTTTGTTTTTTAAATTGATCAATCAATAAAGAAACATTTATTAAGTGTCTAATTTGTGTCAGGCACTGTGTTAAACACAGGGGATACAAAAAGGGAAAAGACAGTCCCTGCCCTCAAGGAATCTTAAAATATTAACTGTGAAGACAACAAACAAGCTATATACAATATATATACAAAGCAAGCTATATACAAGATAAATAGGAAATAATAGAAAGAAGGTACTAGAATTAAGAGGGGTTAAGGAAGACTTCCAGTAAAAAGATGAGATTTTAGCTGGGACTTAAAGGAAGCCAGAGATGTCAGTAGGTGGAATTGAGGAGGGAAAAAGTTCCAAGATGGGGGGCAGCCAGAGAAAATGCCCAGAGCTAAGAGATGGGGTGTCTTGTTCATGCAACAGCCCGGACACCAGTGTCACTGGATTTTGGTACATGTAGGGGAGCAAGGTATAAAAAGACTGGAAGAG